AGGTCGGATGGGGAGGGCAAGGGAGACGATGAGTCAGAAGGGGGAAGATGAAAAAGGAGGATGGGAAGATGAGAAAAACAAAGGTAGAGAAGAAGGAACGGGAAGGTACGGAATGATAACAGAACGTGGTAGGGATAAGGAAGGGCTGGGGGCATGGGTGGTGCGAGGTGGAGGGGTGGATGCTCCAGGGCACAGAGCCGAGCGTGGTCACGCCTTCCTCTGCGTACGGCGAACGCAAGATGATGCGAAACAGAACGTTCCCCGTCACACACGTCATCACTGCCACCGACCAAATTCTCGCCATGAACGCTGGCACGGCATGTCGGCACCACGTCAATACACCCCACGTCCCCTCCGACTCCTACTGCTCGTATTCGCGCCCTTGCCCTTGTCAACTCGACTCGTCTCACCAGGTGCGAAATTAGAATCTGCTCTCACGTTGCCATCTGGCTAGTCGGCAGGGAACCAAACTAGGCGGTGCCTTCCTGACCACCAGTAATGGTTTTGCCTCGAACAATCCCCATCTGAGGTCTGTGCGAATGTTTTTGACATGATGGGTACATGTATGTCAGTCTGTGCGTGATGCGTGATATGCAGATGCAAAAGTTGGTTAGCCCATGCCTGTTCTTCATGCAGCACATGGGCACATACTATTCCAAGATTTTTATGTGCTGCTTACGGACGCTCTTCACCGATAACCACCATGCCACGGTGCCTTTGCGTTGTCCGACTCGTGAACTATATGATGGGCGCGTGTGGGATCATGTGTTGTTTGAATATATGAATGCACCCAAAACTAACCACATGCGTACGCTGAATGTATGTTAGGTGTGTTCCGTATGTGCGGTCTGTATGCGATATGATGTTGCCATGCTGGTTGTCGTGCTGGTGTTTGCGTTGGATTGGTGCGCAGAACGACTGTTATTGGGTGCTTGTGCCGAGTGCCAAAAAAAGTAATGTGTTGCATCATGTAACGCCGTCGTGGATAGCACGCACTGGGTAAACTACAACCTACCATCGAAATACGTATGTACTGTATCACTGGCTCTTCGATACGTGCGCTGTGTTGCTGTTGCGTAACTCCGGCTGTTTAGCATACATGGCATCAATGCGAGCTCCTTGTATCTGGACTTTACATTTGCCCATGCCGTATTCAAGACCTTATGCTTTCACGTTTCGTCAACCCTTGTGTTCTCTGTGAGTTGTGTGCATCGGTTCGCTCTTTACATGCGCCCGTGAGTGCAATTCATGTATGCGGTGCTCTTTACATCACATGCTAAAGCTGTAAATTCATCATGTGTGTCTTGCGTCTGTGTTTCATTCATGACTGTTATTTCCGTCTTCCATTAACGTCTCTCGTCGGTTGTGTGGTCGTTTGTCGGAGAGGCGGGACACTAGGGCCTTTTCGGGATTTCTAGGGCCATCGGTTCTGTGGTCATACAGTCGAGGATCGGAGGACCAGGGGGGGGCAGGAAAGGGGGGGCTGTGTGCTCGGGGAAGGGGGGGGCACGAGTGGAGCGGAAGAGCAGACGGCAAGCGAGGGAGAGGGGCGAGTGGGCGCGGCGGCACGGCGGGGAGACGGCGGCCTCAAGATAGCGCTCCAGCAGTCGCGCCCTCTGCTCGAGGTCGGCCTTGGCGCGCGTGCGCGCGAGCAGCGAGGCGGCGGCGAGCGTGCTGAATCTCATCGGGCCCAGGAGACCTAGTCATTGGTTCGCACCGACGCGGCAAGGAACTACCACCGACTGCTCGCAACATGGGCAACCATATGGGAGCAGGAGAAATATGATCCGGCACCGTCCCCCTGCCACGTTGAACTGTCGTAGACTGTCAAGCGCTGTCTGGTAGGACCTCTGCCAATCTTCTAAGCCTCACCTCTTCCTGGGCTCCCCAGGCGGTCCCGACGCATCCATGGGGCTCTCCAAGCGATCCTATGGCCACAGAGACCGCCAAGATGGCCCCACATTGCCACACGAGGCACCCAAGAGCGCAACAACAAAAACCCTGAGAGGTGTCAAAGCGCCAAAGGGGCCCGGACAGGTTTCCAATACACGAAAGAACTGACACCAGGTTTCCCAGGAACGCCGAAATCATTCGAACGCCTACAGAAGATACCCAAAAATTGTTCCCCATATCTCAAGCTACGCTTGTTGTTCTTAGTGTAATGCCTCCGCCTCCCGCTCCGACCGCCAAACGAAAAAAAGGCCTCCCGCCACTTCATTCGTTGGGCGTCTCCACACCTCCCTGCTCCCTCCTCCTTTCATCCGACCTGCTGCCCCCTACTTACACTCAGATCCACGCAGATTCAGCCTGGTCATACTCAGACTCATGCACGCAGACCGCTCACACACACATACTTCCCATTCACACTCAAACTCGTTCACATTCAGATTCGCTCATATTCATATTACTCGTACTCAAACAGCGCGCACCCAGGTCCGTTGGCACTCGGACTCCCTCATACTCAGATTCACTCATACTCAGACTTAAGCACGCTGAGACTCAGTCACATTCAGACCCACTGGTACTCAGCCTCGCTCGCACTCAGACTCTAGCACTTGGGCTCCTCAATGTGGTAGCCGCCAAAAGGTGCTACACTTGCCCGTTCGCGTCCAGATTGTAGGGAAATCTCAAACGGAACACTGTTCTTGCATGAAGGCCACTGACTGCCAAATACCAGCCGACCCGTACACCGTACCGCGCCACCCGGCCGCAGCCACCGTACTGGACGATACCGTACCGGCCGCGGCCACCGTACCAAACGATACCGTACCGACCGTGTCTTCCGCACCGGGACGGTGACGTACAAGCCGCGTCTACCGTACCGGACAAGACCGCATCGTGCCGCACACTGTAGTCCAAGCAGGATCTAGCGTGAGGAAGGAGGAGGAGGAGGAGGGCAGGACCCCCCAGGGCCTCCCAGGACCTCCCAAGGGCCCTCAGGGCCTCCCAGGGGCTTCCAGGGTCCCCAAGGGCCCTCTAGGGCTCACCAGGGCTCTCCAGAGCCTCCAAGGGCTTCCCAGGGACCCCCCGGGAGCCTGCAGGATCAACTAAGGCATCCTGCAGGATCCTGCGGGATCAACTGAGGGATCCTGAAAGGTCAACTGAAGGGAGCCCTCCTTGCTCCTACCTCCTCCTCTTCCTCCTCATCCTCCTCCTTGCCCTCCTCCTCCTCGTCCTTTTCCCCCTCCTCCGTCATCCGTCCTCCGTCCTCCTCCTCGTTCTCCTGCTCCTCGTCTTCCTCCTGACTCCTCTTACGCACTCCTCATTATCTCACCTTCCCTTCTTCCTCTTCCTCGTCCTGATCGTTCCCGTCCTCACCCTCCTCATATATATATATATATATATACATATGTGTCTGTGTGTCCCGTCATTCTCGCCAATATCACCATTCACATCACAATCGTCTGCTCCCTCTTCTTCTCCATACTCATGCTCACCAGCATGATTATGATGCTGCTGTTGATGAGGATGATCAGCACGATCCCTATCATCATCAAACTCCTTATCAGCATCACCATCAACATCGTCACCGTCATCATCGCCATCATCATCATCATCATCATCATCATCATCATCATCATCATCATCATCATCATCATCAGCATCATCAGTACCATCATCATCATCATCATCATCATCATCATCATCATCATCATCATCGTCATCAGCATCATCCTCATCATCACCACCATAACCCCCACCAACACCACCACCACCACAATCATCATCATCAGCGACACCAGCATCAGCATCCACATCATAATCATCAATATCGTAATCGTCATCGTTGTCGTCATCATTGTCATCGTCATCATCGTCCCCATCGTCGTGGACATCGTCGTCATCATCATCATCATCATCATCATCATCATCAGCATCATCATCATCATCATCAGCATCATCATCAACATCGTCAATACGATCACCAACGGCGATATGATGTATCGTCAACCGAGGCGCAAGGGCAATCGGGCTCCACATCGAGCCGCATCACCGATGCATCGGCGATGCGGCGCGTACCTCCGACCCCACCTTCTCGGACCCCAACTGGGAGGGCTATAAGAGTAGAGCAAACATCCCAGCGTCAACATATTCTCGGCAACTGGCGGCGCTCTGGGGAAACCACACACCGCTGATACCGATACTCCTCAGACGTCCCCCAGGGTGCGCTCTCGCCGAAACCTCCGAGCGAATCCAGCCGTGGCAACGAGGGCCTCACAAGAGACCCAAAAAGGCGAAACCGAGGGGCAACAATATCGGTGCCTTCTGCTCCTCTGGCGTTCGTCCGTCGACGTCCGCGTTGGCGTCGCCGCCGCGCCAACGCAACGGCGTACCGGCTGTGTGCGCTCAATTCCCCTATGTTCAACGCTGATTCACGGGAGCCCGTCATGCCATCTGGCTCTTGCGAATCCAGGCTCGCCGACGCTTGTCGACGCTACACCGGCGCTGTTAGACTCCATATCGGCGTTTTCTTGTCCACTACCAGACGCTAGCGCACGCTAGTGCGTCTCATCACCGTCATGGTCATCACCATCACCATCACCAGCACCAGCACCACCATCATCATGACGATCACCACAACAACCACCATCAACATCAACATCATCATCATCAGCATCATCAACATCATCATGATCATCGTCGTCGTCGGCGTCGTTGTCGCCGCCATCGCCATCACCATCATGACCCCCGCCATCACCACTGTCATGATCACCGTCACGGTCATCATGACCAACAATAGTTTCCATCACCGTCATCCTTCTCATCGTCATCGTCGTCATCATATTCCTCATCATTATTACCATTATGATCTCCATCATCATCACCATCTTTATGGTTATCGTCATCACCACCATCATCAAAACAACCCTCACCAATGACCTACAATGATCACTACACTGGCCAGGCTGGTCATCACACCAGCTCGTCAAAAGTACTGGAAAACATTGACATCACAGAATTCCAAAGTACAGCTTTCTGTGTACTCACGCATCCTTTGCTCCACATCAACGAGCACTACATAGTGTTTCTTTTAACGCCTCGTGCCCGTGTGGACACGGTTTAGCTGGTGTAAAATCCAATTGGTCGGCGTGGACCGTAATAACCCCCCGGGCCCCCCCAGAGACCCCTGGGGCCTCGAAGATCCCTCAGGGCCCCCCAACTCTTCACAATCCCAAAATCCCGAAAATCCCTAGGGGGACCCAGGGAGGCATTGGGGGGCCCTGGGTGGTCCTGTCCTATCGTCCTTCTCCTCCTCTTCCTCCTCCTCTTCCTACCGATTCGTTTCGGATGAGCGCAAGAGGCTCGACTCGCAGACACAGAGAGACGAGAGAACGGATGAAGCAGCACTGATAGACACCAAACTTGCCTCCAGCGCAGAAAGGCGCACCTCCCCCCGTGGGAGAAAGGCCGAACAAGATGGGTGCGGTCATTCACAGCTGATGGACACTGAAAAAAACAGAAAACATGGGGATGGAAGATAAACAGGGGAATAATAGCACGAGCCAGGCTATTGCCAGAAGCGCCGCGACACTCAAGTGGGCATCGCTTCACACGCAGGGTACTGCCACGCCCAGAAGGCGGCCTTGGCCGCATCATCACCTTCCCTCGCGTGCCCTTCGCCTGAAACGGGCATCCGTTGCACAGCCCTACGCAGCCAACTGGTACTACGACCGATACATCAACGCACAGCACACACACACAACAGGAAAGACCTCGGTGGGTCATGGTGCGGGGCTCGGCACAGCTGGATCGAACGGCCCAAAGGGGCCACACATCTCCGTAGTCCCAGTGCTGTTTGCCAGCAGTCGCGAAAAAACAAGCCACCTGTGACCTGAGCTTCCTTTCGTCACGTAAGGTCCATAGGTGGCGGCCTGGCGAGACAAGGAGCGAAGCTAGACTGGCTTGCAGCAGGCTCGGGTTCCAGGTGGCTCCTGCATAACTCTGGAAATCGGCGCCTGGTCTCTTGCACTACAGAGGCTGCCAGGGCATGATACAAGGCGAGGGGGAGGTCTTGGTATATGCCGTCTTCCGCATACTCTTCTCGTCCACTCCTCCAAATCTGGCGTGGGGCGGCCATTGGTGCACAAAAACCTCTTCCGGCGTAGCCACAAGGAATGCCCTCGCCGCGTCCAGATGCACGCACAACACGGTCGTTGGCTTGAGATAGGAGCCAGGAGCTCGTGGCGCCCGCCACACGGGTGTTGTGGGAGGGGTGTCCCATGACCGCGGGGATCTGGTAAATCCAAGCCTCCCAAAGAAAACGGATCGAAACCCTCAGTACTTATTCCCAAAACAGAGCTGAGCGTTTTCCCGCTTCGGAAGGTGGCCAAATCCCAAAGATGCACATCTGACCCAAGGAGGCGGGGGGGGCTGCTGGTTCCAGGATGACCAGGTAGTAGACCCCGCGCACAAGACCACGTTTCACACGGGGGGCCGCAATGATCGCGGCCGCCCTTTCCGATCTAACCATTCGAAGCCGAAGGAAAACCGTATCGGGTACCTTTACGTCCCCGCGAACCTCATGGCTCAGAACATCGATGCGGAGCACCACACCGATCGTAGGATGTGGCTCACAAGCCTAGTCCCCATACCACTGGAAGTCGTGGGCTCTCCTAGAAACTATGACATTAAAAACCCTAAGCCCCGGGCTCCTCCTCTTCCTCCTCCTCCTCCTCCTCCTGCTCATCCTCCTCCTACCTGCCGTGCTGCCAAGATCAATACCTGCGGCAACCAACGGGCACAATTAACCGTTCCCGTACCGCGTGCTCCCGTTACCGTACCGTGCCGCGCCACACCGTGGCCATGATGTTTTTGGCACCACCGACGCTCCTGTCAGAGCCGCATGGTCACCGCGATGTAGCGGGCACCATGCATGGGCACACCAAGCGGGAGCCACCAGGGAACGCTGTCGCCACAGGCTACGACGCTCCCACAACTCATTCACTCACGGCGGGACGTGCTAGGAAATGAAACGCACGTTGGGGGATTTCCAGTCCGCGTCGAACAGTTTTTGGTTGGAGATGCCTTGGGCTTTCTTTTCGAGATGGGTCCAGGAGGGCCCAGAAAGAGCGGCAGGAGGCCCCGACCCGAAGACGCTCCCCCAGACTGCCCAGGACAGCGCCCAAAGAGAGCCCCAAGGGCCCAAGGCAAAACAAAAGGCCCAAAGACGGACAAAACAAACCCAAGAATGTCCGAAGGCAGCCCCGGGAGACCTCCGACGGCCAAGACGGGCCGCAGAGATGCCCTGACAGCCCCTCCAAAAGAGCTCGAATACGAGGCAGGATGAGCCACGCAAGGAGTGGTTTCGGGCTTCCGACGCTCTAAGACGGCCAAGGAAGCCACCAACATCGCCCAAAGACGGTCAAAGCGGCTGCCGAAAACGTCCGAGAACTGCCAGAGACGGCCCAAACGGCCCCAAGACCGCCCAAGACGCCCCCAAAACACCCGAATAGGGCCCCAAGACGGCCCCAACACGTTCCCGACTGGCGGATAGTTCGATCCTTCCGCCCCAGAAGAAGCCCCCAAGAGGTCCCCAAGATTGCAATAGAGGCGAGACGTGTCATGCCACAGCCTTCTGGATGGTAGTCGAAGCGTTGCCATACGGAGCGCTGCGCTTTCATGGTAACGGACCTTGATGCAGGCGTGTTATGTACGTGTATATATATATATATATATACATGTGGACAGTAATAGCAGTGAGAACATACATATACATAACAAACAAACATGCACACGCATCGCATACGTGTACATAATGGAAGCGAGCAATTCAAAACAACAACTTTCTGGGGCGGGCGATTTTTGGGTACAAGAATAATGTTCGCGGGCTTTCGCGCCACCGCAATGGCGGGGGGGCGGGGCAGGGCAAACGGAGGGCGGACAATCCGATGCCCGGGGGGGGCGCGGGCTGATAATTCAGGGCGGGGGGGCGGGCGGTCAATTCAGAGCTGGGCAAGCAAAAGCTGGGAAGGATTTCGCGGGCTGGCGATTCGAATCCGCAGGGGCGGACAATTCGAGACCGCGGGGGTTGTTTTCGGCCAGCCCTAAATGAGAAGTAGAAATTTCTGATCCGCCAGTCGTGCGCGGAAGGCAAATATTTTGCGCCGCCTTCAGACAACGACCTCCTTTCCCACCTCCTCTTCCTATTCTCCTCCCATTCCTCTTCCTCCTCCTCTTCCTCCTCCTCCTCCTTCCCCTCGCTTTTCTATTCCTTGTCACCTTCCCCCTGCTACGCACTGTTCCTCTACAATTACTCAACATGAATACTATTCCACGATTTCCCCTGATGCACTCCGGAAGATTGCCTGCACCCCTCCGCGAAATTGTGTTTTTTAATCACACACAAGTTTGGCACGAATCCGTTTCTCATACTTGTTTTTCATTCGGAACGTTTTCGTCTCTTCCAAAATGGTGGTCCGGCTGTGACGCTGACGTCTTTTTCGGGTTTCTGCTCGGTTCGAATCCTCCCGCGTGCTGTTTTTAAACCGAGGATTGGGGAAATGTGTTGTTCATATTTGTTGCTCAATCCGAACTTGTTCGTTTCCTCGTTCCTCTGACAGGCTGGTCCCGCGGCAGCGTTGGCCTCATGTTCGAGCTCCAACCGCCGTCCGCGAGGACGACAGCTGGGCCGCCCTCAGGTTGGTTCTTGAGTCGGGGTTGAAAAAACTGCATACGCACAAACTTTCGACGGTCCTCCGTGGATTTCCTGGATCTGCGCTGGGACTCCCTTCCGGCGTTTCCGGCGCCCCCTCTCCGCAATCCTCATCCCGCGGCCGCGGGTGATCAAACGAACGCACGAGGACGAATAGAACATGAATTCCCGCAAGGCGGCAACATAAAACGCCAGGGGGGCAGACGATTAAAAAACAGTTTCTGGCGGCTGAGTTCTATTAGTCTGGCCCTTTCATTCATTTTGGGGCCCCCAGGACTGAGGGTGGGGGGGTGGAGCATGTTCTTAATTGTTTGCCCCCATTCTATATAAACAAGGAGAGAGAGACAGAGAGAGAGAGAAGGAGAAAAAGAAAGAGAGAGAGAGAGTTAAACAGAAAGAGAGAGAGAGAGAGAGAGAGAGAGAGAGAGAGAGAGAGAGACAGAGAGAAAGAGAGAAAGAAAGAGAAAGAGAAAGAGAAAGAGAAAGAGAGAAATAGAGTGAGACAGGGAGAAAGAGAGAGAGAGAGAGAGAGAAAGACCATCCTGAGCTCTTCCAACCCCGGCATCCTCGTGAATCGATGTGTTCGATGCTGGGGGGGCCCGCGCGAGTATGCCGATGCTGGAGGCGGCCTGTTAACTTCGACAGTTCGTGACGAAGCCACGGCGCCACGAGAAGTCACGGCCAGGGCCTTCAACCCCCTGGTGATGTTTATGCGGGATACCTCCGCCCGGACCGACTTGCCAGAGACCCTCGGGCCCGAGGCGGGGCCAAACCGCTGCACGCCGCCCAGGCGCGCCCAGGCGCGCCCCCGCCCAGGCGCGCCCCCAGGCTTCTGTGACTCGAGAGCTGCCTCCCGGGGGCGCCGCCGCAACCAAAGAGGCGGGCGGGCCGCGGGCGGGCCTTCTTCTGCCCGCGTTTCGCCTTCTCGCCGGGCACCTCCGCGGCGCCCGCGCTCGCGCGCCGAGGGCGCGGGCGGCAGTGCGGCGCCCGGTGCCGCGCTGCGAGGAGCGGCGCTCGAGCGGGCGGCCACGGGGGCCATGCCGGACCCTGGCGCGGTGTAATTATGCGCCCTCCGGGCCGACAACTCGGCCTGGGGCCCGAGGCCTGGCCAGACGGGCAGCCGACCCGATGGCCCAGGGAGTGCGCCTGCGTCACCCCCAGGGGCGTTTCCTCGGCTTCGCGCTCTGGCGCAGCCGCCCTGTAGAGCAGCAGCCCCTCGGCCGTATGGGGGACCGAGAAGAGGGAGGGTGAAAGGTGGGAGGCAAAGAGGACAAGGAGTGAGGAAGAAGGAAGAGGAGAAGGAGGAGGATGAGGAGGGGGAGGAGGCGGATGATGATGATGCTGATGCTGATGCTGATGCTGCTGCTGATGATGATGATGAAGATGAGGAGGAGGAGGAGGAGGAGGAGGAGGAGGGGGAGGAGGAGGAGGAGGAGGAGGAGGAGGAGGAGGAGGTGGAGGAGGAGGAGGAGGAGGAGGAGGAGAAGGACGAGGAGGAGGATGAGGAGGAGCGGGGGAGGAGCAGGAGGAGCAGGATGAGGAGGAAGAGGAGGATCATCACGTGGTTGGGGGCGGAGTTCGTCCACCCTAAGGCCTGGCGTCCTCCTGTAGGGACATGGCCTGACGTTGACGAGTTACATAATCCGTCAACCTGAGCGGCGGGCAACTGTACCTGGAGGGAGCGGAAAAGTTGTTTCTGGGGTGCTGTCCCTTACAGAGCAGATTCCACTGAGTTCGAGCACCATCACGCTTGAACTCTCCTCCACAGGCCTTGCTTAAACCCATGACGTTGGATTCGCTGTAACGACCACGCTTGGCACATGCAAGAATAAAATTTGCACCCCTGGTCTCCTCTGAAACATACAGCTGATGCCTGCGGGGGTCAGTTGCCAGATCGGCCAATTCAGGATGGAACCCTCTGCAAGCCTCATCCTTTCGGCCAGCCAACTGCTTCTGAGCGCATCTGGTTTTACAGACAGCGCATATCAATTTTCCGTTCCACCCCCACTCCCACCTGTGGAGGAAGCGGGGGGGACGAGGGGCCTCAAGGGCAGGAGGGGGAGGAGGGATAGGTTGCTGCCAGACAGCAAGCGCGCTACACGCTCCAGCAAGAACTTTCTGGGCGGCGCCCTTGTCCCTAGAATCAAAAGCTTTCTTGCTGGACTTCGGTCCCACGGGCTCCCACAAACTTAACCCTTTGGCCGCATAAATGAGCCACTTCTTGAGTAGCTTAGTCTGCTCGTCAACCTCCTCTACTTCAGAGCTAGAAGGTCGCAGCAGACTCTGGGCACCTAACTTAGCGAATTTATCGGCGAGATCATTTCCAGTGGCATCGAGCCACTCAGGCGTTCCCTTGGGAATCGCCTCCAAGTCCCGATGCGCTTTTATCTTGACGCACTCGACATTATCATGCCACCCTCTGCTTCCGCGGGTCAGCATGGCTACTCCAGCGTACTTATGCTTCCTGAAGTACTGCTGGTGATTGTACACATCTAAAATACCCTGATAATCTGTGATTATCTCAGCTATGGCTCGGGGAGGGGCGGCAGCAGCAGCAGCAAGCACGGCAAGATGCTCAGCAGAAGGGGGGGATTGGGGAAGGCTGCTGCCCACAGGTCCGTAGACCGCTCCCTCGAGCTCGCCGCTCTCGTCGATCACCGCGGCTGCGAAGCCCGCGGTGTGAAAGCACGGGTGTCCCTGTTTCAAGCGCGAACCGTCAGTATAAACTTTGCCCTTGAAAACATCCTGAAGGGCATGGCCATCTTTAACCCACACTGTACACTTGTTTTAACTGTTCCCGAGACCAGCAGGGGCTCCGATGTCAAATTCTGGCCTCACTTGGAAGCCTGCCTGGAGCGGAAACTTGGTCGGGTCCTGGAGCTGGTCTCTTTTTTTATGTCGGGGAAACATGTCGTCTCTAAGTTCGGCTGTGCAGGGGCAACTCACGAGTCCATGATGAAGATCATCTGAACGATGTCCGCATTTGCACTGGGGCTCCGTGGGGTAACCTGCTTTGGCCAGAACTGAATGGGTCCATATCCCCTGGGTGAGGAAGGCCTTGAGGGTAACCTTTTTCGGAGTCCGTGAGCGTACTGGACCTGAGGAGCTCCTGGGCGACACTTGCGTCCAGCTGGCCTTCCAGGCCAAGCTTCGTCGCTGCCTGAGTCCTGAGCTGCTGAGCCCAAGCTCCTTGAAGCCAGAACTGGAGTAGTGCTGGAGACGTAGTTGTCAGAATATGTATCTGATGATTCTGGTCGCTCATGGTGAATGGGCTAGTAAACTTCCAACCGATACGCGTAGCACTTAGAATAGCTGCGCCGGAAGGACCTCGGCACTGGCTCCACTTCTTCGGCAGGTCGTCAAAAATAGCTGCTGCCATCTCTCGAAGGCCTGGCAGATTGAAACCAGCCGCGTACTCGCCCGCCATGGCCCTCCAGACGAGCGCGGGCCACAGTAAGATGGGCCCTGCACCTGGTCGCCAGCAGGGGCCCTCACGAAGACAGAGCCCGAGTGAAAGCGATCTGGTTGAGGTCCCAGGGCCAGCAATTTTCAATAATAATCTTCTGGATTGTCTAAGTTCGAGATCATCCATTACAACAACTTCAGAACCATAAAACTGAGCTTGGCCAAAACCAGTCTTATAAAGCGTTAGCGCGTTTCCCGCTGCTCGGTGAACCGCTCGAATCTTCGGAACTCTTGCTTTTAGCTTAGCATATATTTCTCTTAGCTTGCTGCTTCGGATGTGCTTCCCGCGTTTTTGACCAGCTCGAAAATCAACTCCTAGGTTAGCTGCATGCGCTGGCGTGGAAACAGAGTACTTACCCACCTGCTTAGCTAGCCTGTTCTGAATGTCGGCAGACGTGGCTAAGACTGCTGACTTGGCCACTGCAACTGAGCACTCCAGCTCATACTGGATCGCCCACAACATGCTGGCAGCCGCTCTCCTCAATTCCGCGATGAGGGTGGCGTTGCACATGTGCGAGAAAAGGAGCAGCATATCGTCAATAAACATATGGAGGGAAACTTGCACATTCGATGTCCATATATCTAGAGGTTCCAAACAATACATCTGAACCAAGAACGTAGCGAAGCTGCAACCTGCGGGTATGCCTTTCGACGTATAACCTGCATATGATGTTTGATTATTGAGTGCAATCATTCGTTGACTCTGATATTGATTCATGATGACGGGCATGATGGCACCATTGAAGCCCGATTCCAGGGCTCGACGATGAAGCTTAGCACGATTAACATCACATGATGGAGGCCGCGTGGAGGGAGGAGTCTTGGGTGGCGCCGCTCTCTGCCTGGAGCGACTGCTGGTGCACTAGCTCGAGGATAGACCTCCCCGCCTGATGCGCAAGAAAACTTCTACGATGCCGTTGCTCCCATCTTCTAGCTTCATTCTGCCGTATTCTCCCCCGCGCTCTATACGTACTTGGCATAAGACCTATCCCACGGTAGGAGAGGCCATCGCCAGAGGGTTTGTGTTTGGGTATAAGGGCTGTGATAACTGCTAGAAGCTGGAACGGCATACTCCCGACGCGCTCCACGATGTTGAGGAGCCTGCAAAACTGCTCCTGCTGCTGGAAAGAGAGGAGGGCGAAGTGCTTGGGGTGGATCCCGTCCCAAGTCTCCGCCGCGGCGTGACTAAACTTCTTCAAGGCCTGCTTGAGCTCCCTTTGGGTTGATACGAGGAAGGGCTTCTGCTGCTTGAGGATCTGCTGGGGGCTCTAGCTTGAGGTTCCGCTTTCGACTCTCAAATTGCCAAGAGGCGGCGAACTTCAGCATTCGAAAGTTCCGTCGGGCATCCCGAAAGGTCTCCAGCGTGGGTTTTTACCTGAGTTTGCTTCCAAGGTTGATTTTTCTGGGTCCATCGATGGACCCAGCCAGCCCCCAATGCCATTCGATCTCTGACCCACGGTTTCCACGTAGAACTTGCGTTTTGGCCTTCTGAATGCTTTTCTTTACCAAGAAACTTAAGAACGAATTCATGCTGTTCACGAAATATAGCTTTGGCTTCTGGAGAAATTCCATCCTTGCCCCTGCCCTGCACGTCCTGCTGCAGCGCTTCCACGAGGCTGCGCACTTTGCTGAGCATGGCGCTCAACTCGTCAGAAGCAAAAAACTCTTGCGGCGGTTCCGATAGCACCTGCAACAGATCTGAGAGCGCGCCAACATCACACTGCACAAGAACGCGCTGCACCTCTAAAATCTGGTTGAGAAGCCAACGCGTCGGCCGCCAAAAACTTGCCCATTCAGCTCGGTGTTGGCTTTCCACAGCTTTAGCAGACAGCCAGATAATCTTTGGGGGCCCACAACGGAGACCTGCATGGCGGAGGGGGGCGTCCGTGGCCTTACTGATTGCGACCTCCATCTCCTGAACCAGAATCTCATGCGCTTTATCCAGAGCTGCTTGTTGGGCCTCAGGGGCATCCGAAACCAAGAACTGCTCCCCGGTATCCAGAGCTGCAGCCGTTTTTTTACCCAGTCTCTGTTCTCCAAAGCGGGGCCTATGGGGCGCTTGGTGGGGAGCTTCTGGGGCTTGCTGAGCACAGGGATCATGAGGCTGGACCCGACCGCCAGACTGAGCTTGACGGGGCGGTGGGGCGACAAGGGGTACTGCTTGAGCACTGTGATCGCCTGCGCCGAACTTTTGAGGCACGAGCTCATCATGAAATAGCCTATCTTGCTGCGCGTCTTGCTGGTGAAAAGGGTGTAGCCAGATGGGTGCACCGTGGCCAGTCCTGCGCGCTCTAGCACTCCTGAGCCTGAAACCATGGACGGGGCCATGTTGAAGTCAGCCCCCACGAAGACAGGCATGCGATATCTTTGCCGGCACCAACCTGCTGTCGCTAGCAGGAACAAATTTGTGTTGTTGAGGCCCTCAGAGGCCTCGAAGTACATGGAGAGGAAAACGATGGGCTTGTGCCCTGGTAGTTCTAGAATGGCAGCAGAAGCACGACTCTGAGGAATATAAAGCGGAAGAGGCGCAGGTTGAACTCCTATGTTGAGTCCAGTACGGATGAGTATGCACGTGCCGCTGCTGTTGCAGTTGTTCTCGCCGACGTCGCATTCAGAGATGACTGCATGCCGGCCTCGAACTTCACACCGCTGAATAGCTTGAGAAAGCTTGTCGCCTCGGAGCTTGACCTCCTGGGCGCAGATGACAGCGGTGTCTTGAACTTCATCAGATTGAATTAGCTTCTGTACTGCAGGCCAACAACTCCCGTTGATGGTGATGATACTGAGCTGCTTGTTGTTACCCATATGGCGCGTCAGCCGCGCCTTTGCCAGCAGCCATGGCCACCGCCGCCCTCTCGGGGGCCTTCTGGGCCAGCTGCCTG